AATTGCTTATGGCAAAATTTCAAGCCATACCTGTGAAGATTGGAACACATCATATAGGGATAAAATAATAATTTCTAATCAGTCATTCAGTACACTAAAGAAACAGTAAGAGATATGGTTGAGAATCATACACAATTTCAATATAGATCGAAACGTGCCTAATAAAACTATTCCTTAATAAGTTCTTCAGGAAATGGATATCCAAATAATTTAAAGTCCATTTCATATAACTTATATAGTTTAATTATATCTTCTCCTGGGACTTGTGCGAAATATTTCAAATACATATTTATATTAGAACTGTTAGTTGCATGAGTACTGAACTCAGGGAAGGACACGTCTGTAATCCCAATGGAGCGAAGAAGGTAGTTTGATTCTTCCACAATATTTTCAAAGTGGCCAATGAAATCGTAAGAAAATTCACATACCTCACATAATTTATGTTGGAAATCCCAGTGCCAATTATATCGATTTTTGTTTGAGATATATAACAGAAATTGTATAAATTCGGGGAATGTTACATTTTTCCAACTGTTTTTAACAGACGCTGATGCATTAGGACGTAAATGTGAGACTATTTTTCGACCTATTTCCTCCGCTATATCATAATAATCTGGGATTTCAAATTTATTCCTGTATGCAGATAACAGTCTTTGAAACGGATGACGGACAAATAAAAATGAAGTACAATGTCGCTTACGACTTTCATCTTTTGAAATTGATGGAAATCCACGAAGATTGATTACATGGTGGTTAATGCCAACTGTACTGTTATACCCCATCAATACAAGAATAATTCGTTTCCAATTAGTTATACCAACTTTAGGGATCTGACAGTAAGCAATTTGATATTTATTGATATATAGCAATCCTCTTCTCTCTTCTGGTCTATGGTAATTGTTGTCACCAGGCTTTATGGCGGCGCATACCTGATGAATGAGCTGTTTACGTTTTCTCTGTATGTCGCCCATGGTTTCTTTCTGTGTAACAAACAACAAACAACAAGTAATATTGTAAATGGTTCTAACATACACACCTTGTATACCGTTTTATGTATCACTATTGTCTTGTCAGAACCAATTATATATATATTACTGCCAGAATATGGGCGTTTGTGCCCGAGCGCCTCCTAACGTCGGGTAAATGATCTCCTTCCGCGAGGGCACTAACTCCCATATTCGGGCTGTAATATTTTTATTACATGCCTTTAATAACATAAGGAATATAGGGTTAATATGTTAATGTTGAATGAGCTTTTCTGGGCAAATTTCTCATCAGCATAAAGACGAAGGACGGAGACGAATATGAGCCAGCTTCCCTCGCCAACATGAAGTGTAGCTTGGAGGGCTATCTTTTCGATAAGAAGTACTCCACGACTCCACAAGTCTAAATGATCGAGTTTTCCACAAGTTAAATCAAGCTATACGAGCAAGTCGATCTCAAAGGTAAAGGAAAGGAAAACGTAAAAAAGAGCACAGATCGGAAGAGATGGAGGAAGTTATGTGGCAAACCCCCAGAGTGCTAATTTCACAATGTTTTTTTTCTTTTCGGCAAACATTACGGCATGAGAGGTCGGCAGGAGCACCGGCAACTACAATATGGCGATATCGTCGTTGGTCATGATGCAGATGGTACTGATATTTAGAATTTCACGAGAGAGTA